GTCGTCTTGTACATGGGGGCATCTTATTGATGGAAAAATATGGTACTCTGTTATGACAGGAAGGTAGTGCCATCCTGTATTTACAGTTGCTAGTGGTTTTCTATATGTATAATATTTCTTTGTTTCTATTTTTTTCTTTTCCCCTTATTCTTATGTTAAAGCAAAATTAAAATGGTAGTCAAGTAAGTGACTTCAGCAAAGCTTTATAACTGCTTTGCAAAGCTGTAACTAATGTGATGCTGAGTAAGAAAGAAAAGATGGTTTGGAGGGTAGCCTTCATGCAGCTGGATTACCACCGTATGTCACCCAAAATGGGTAACTCAGGCACTAAAGGCTAACAAAGCTGCCCTGATATATCAATTCAGTCATTATCAAATACTGGGATATCTTTCTAGTAGAGATTCCCTTTCATTTGTGTCCATTTGACTCTGGCATTTGACCCACAAGAAAAATTTCCTTCTATCTTTTAAATTTTACATTTACCATGTACCTAGCACACGTATATAAAGAACACACTCTTAACGTATTTTGGGGACTCATGCATGGTCCCAAATAATCACCCTTTCAACCAGATGCACACATTCCCTCCACTTGCAATGCAAACACACAGAACACTGCAAAAGGTCACCCTGCATGAGCAACAGACAGCATTCAGTATGCTGATTTTGGAGACAGAGCTGGCACAGTGAACAATATCAGGGGAAGGACCAGGTGATCATCCCTACTCTATCTGCCACACATAGGCCCTAAGTGCAGACTAACAGGTAAGGAAGACTTCAGTAAAGGACAGATCAGTATCCATTCATCCATTTGTTTACTTAGATTCTGATTATAGTCGTCCTAATCATAGGCATCTGTCAAAGAAAGCTGATTTGCAACTTGATCTTTATGAAGCTCAGTGGAGTTTTTTTTTTCACTTCTCTAAAATCTAAGTTTCGTAGGAGACGAGGAGGAGGAACAGAACATTCAGTTACAATCAGAGGATGACATTCTGCTTCTCAATACCAATCCCAGAAAACAAAAGTTAAATGTATTCATTTCAGTGTATTCTAACTATTGACCCAATCAACCCAAAACTGTGGGATTCAACTATTGCTATAGCCCGAAATTTAAAGAAGCCACAGCCTTGGTCTTCCATGCCACTTACCTTTTCCCATTTTCATACATGCACATGCCAAACGTTTTTGTGCCAGTCTCCTGACATCTTCGCATCATGAGTCGATAGCGAGGTTCAAACACATGAAGGGGACACACAAGACCTGGAAACGACATGGTGCACACAAAGATGGGGATATTCTTATTTAGGCTGCAAAAGAAAGGAGAAGAAGCATGATCAACAAACGAACTGTGTGTAGGAGCTGGATAAACCAACAGGAGGATTGTGTGGTAGAAGAGACCACTGGATACCTTTTGTGCATGCATACAAGGATACACAGGTGAAGCCTCCATGCTTGCTCAAAAAGATAAAGGTGCATGTGGACTACTGAACTTACCAAAAATCCAGATATTTATTTATTAGATCTATATTCCCTCTCTCCTCCAGAGAACTGCCAAAAGTCATGTTCTACAAACCCACCATCTAGTCCATCTGTCCTACTCAGCATTGCTACAGACATTCATCAGCACTTGGACCCTACAGTGACAGAAAGAGCTGCATCTCTCCTAATGGGTTTATCCAGCACTGCAGGTACTTCTGGAATGGGATGTAGGGAGAGTGGTTGGTGGCTACATTGTCATCAGAGCCCAGATGTCAGATTAAGGAAGACAGAGAGAGAAAAGGCTTGAAGACATGTTGATGTGAGACACATGTTATGGAGCAAGGGTGGCCAAGGGAGAAACAACATATGGTCACTATGGAAAGATTGTGGGTTATCTAAAGCTTGCCTTGTGCAGGGGTATACATGCATACACAGAGAGAGAGAGAAACACACACAGATTTTTTTAAATGCTGGAAAATGCTAAAAGTGCTGGGGAAGATCATTAATTATTTAAGAAATAAACAGCAATAAAAGGAACTGAAGTTAGGGAAACCAGATCATCTTGGTAACACAGGCTGAGAAGCAATCTTCCTGACTGTAACAAGCTTACTTTTAAGAAGAACTGGATAGAACTGTAAAAAAATATACTTTCCAATTACTGTAAAATAACTTTTCTGCCTCCAAGATTTTACACACAGAACAATATGCAACCAAAAGGCTCATATTTACTTTGAAAGTTCTACCATTTCAGCTTGATGGACCAGTTTCCTTTCTGCCAGTTGCAAAGGGAAGACTGCTGTCATCAACTCTTCAAGCAGAATGGTAGTAGTATATTTTCCAGCTCTCAGATACTGGAAAGAATCAAAAGTTCATTATTATATCACCTTAAATATTTATATTTTACACGTATTTACACATACATTTGGTACATTTTAGTCCCACCAATTACAAGTTTTGCAGAATGGAAGACCAAAAGCGCACAACAGAAGACACTCCACTCCCAGAGTCCCTCTTCTGGGCCTGGCAAGTTTTCAAGGGCATAGATGGATCAAGTTCATATTCTGCAGTTTCTCCAAAATCCAGTTCCAAATTGCACAGAATTGAAATCCCCTTTCAACAATGTATCTTTTCAAAGAATAAAACTGTGGCTCCGGTGACCCACTCAAGACATTTGTTAATATTTTCCTATGGAATGGAAACTTAAAGTTTCTATTTCATTTATCCCCACCCTTAGCACCTTTCAATATTTAATGTTCACTCTCTGATGCCTAATGCGAAAATCATGCCTGGCAATAATTAGTAAATTCATTTGATTTAGCACTTGGTGAGGAGCCTAACATTTTTATGAGATGGTCTTAACTACTATGGCTAACTCGTATGACTTATACAAAATCATTCTGGCTGCTGAAGCCATTACTGTGGTAATATTTGTACCTGCCAGGAGATGTGCTTCATATACACATCAGAAACACAGAAATCCTATCTTAATCAAGGCCACTTATCTTACAAAAAATTTCCCAGTCAATAGTGAAAGTTAAGGATAAAGAACATACTTGACAACTTGCAAATCCAAAATCTGCAATAACTCTGCCCAATTTAGTATCCTTCAATTGCACTGGGACCACAGAACCGGTTTACCATCTCCTTTTTCTTGACTACATAAACAAAAGCATCCAGCAGTTGAAGGCAAGTAGCAGAAAATTGTGTCTTTCTTTTCCTCTTACCTCTCGCAGGCTTTGCTTGCAAAGTGGGCAGTTGGGCCGATGGTCTAGGCAACGCTCCATACACTCTTTGCAGAAAGTGTGGCCACATGGTGTGGTCACAGGCTCATAGAACATACTGCAGAGAAAGAGACCATCTCTCATTGGGCACAGTTTAAATTAAAATACCCCATGACGTACTCATTAGCAAGCTACTTAAGTATGGGATGGATGGTCCGTCTATTAGGTGGTCCACAGCTGGCTTGGAAATAGCATTCAAAGAATGCTCATCAACAGTTCTGCCTCAAACTGAAGTAAGGTATCGAATGGGATGTGACAGAGTTTGGCTCTGGGCCCAGTACTCTTTAACATTTTCATTAATGACTTGGAAGGAGGGCTTGCTTATTACATTTGCAGACAATACAAAACAGGGTGGGAAAGCTGATACCCAACAAAATACATTTATGAACAATCCTAACGGGTTAGAGAAATGGGTTGAAAATGACACCATAACACTTAACAGAGGCAAAGGCCAAGTTTTTCACTTAGATCACAGGTATGGCATGGGTTATTGCCTAGCTCAGTAATGATACTTGTGAAAATGACTATAAGCTAAATATGAATCAGCAATGTGACATGGGGGTAAAAAAGGTAAATGCAAGCATAGGCTGCCTCAACAGAAGCATAGGTTCAAAATGCCAGAAGACCCCTGCTCTGATCAGACTCCATCTCAAAGACTGTCTCCAGTTCTAAGCACTTGATTTAAGATAAAATGGAACCAGTTCAGAGAAGGGCAATGAGAATGGTAACTGGTAACTAAGTCCGAAGAGGAGAAACTGAGGAAGCTGAACATGTTTAGCTTTGAAAGAAAATATGATCAAGGGGAAATACTATAGTATCTGAATAGGTATCCCTCAGAAGAATGATTTGTATTGTACCATCCTAGAGAACATGGAATTTCTCTTAACTTTTCCAGGCCACAGAACCTGTTAATTAAAATTGTTGTTGTTGTTGTTGTTCCTGGAATCCCTGATCAAGAGGCAAAGTTCTAGCAATAGAAAATTGGCTGCATTCAAGTGAACTTTGTTTGTTCTTAGTCTCTCATGGAATCCCATCAAGTTCTTGCTGAACCCAAGAATTTTGCAAAACAGAGTTTGAAAAACCTTGGTCCAAATAATCCATTCCAACTCTATCATAATTCAGAAATAATATCCTGCAGTGGGCAGGGATGGGGGAAGTAGAACTGTTCGTTACAAAGAATGGAAATCTAAATCCCGAAAGATTATAGAAACATTATGTAAATAAATAACCCCCAAAGATTGCAGTGATCCAAAACAAGGATGTTATGAGGTGTGTTCACCTGGAGCTCTTACCTGTCAAGACCTGTTCATGTAGTCACCAAAAGTCAAGACTTTGAGCCAAGACTCAAAGCCCGCCCCCCCCCCCACAAGAGGATGCACATTAGGAATCATGTACAGTATTCTTAAGCAGAGCATTCATTTCCTTGTGGTAAGCTTTACAACAGGATTTGGTAGTTCAACCTAAAACCTTATACGGCAAGAGTAGGCTATCTTTTGGAGGCCAAGGGCTACATTTAACTTTTTTTTTATTTGGGGATGCAAAGTAGATATGGTCATATCACACACGAGTCCCGGGCTGAGTTTTGAGGGAAAGTACTGAGGTTTCTTTTTATGTTATTATTTTACTGTGATATGGCTATTGTAACACTTGTTATACCAAGCTTTCATATTTGCTGTCTCAAAATGGTAGGATATTGTCCCTTCAGTTTTTCAGCAATCACAATCCTCCAAGTGCTGCAAAAAAGGAGACATTCTTCTCTTCTCCAGGGCATATGCTGCATAAAACACTCATTTTTCTTAGTACGAATTACAAAATACTAAGTTCTCAGTCAAGACTGGAGGATATTGGTATGGTTTTTTAGAAGGACAGGAATGAGAAAGATTAGAACATGAAAAAGACATGGATAAAGAGGGTGATTCTGAAGGTAGAGTAGCAACCTGTATGAACACTAACATGAGTAAGGTAGAGTAGCAACCTGTATGAACACTAACATGAGTGAGTAAACAGGGAGAACAACCAGGAGTCTGACAGGAGTGTTCAACTGAAGAGAGATGAGGCAGAAGAAAGAGGCTGAGTCAAGGAGAGGGAGAGACTGTTGACTGCTGCTGTTGCTGCTGATTGCTCACTGGGTGTGACTGGAGCTTTCCTCTCCACTGACCTAGCAGAGGCAGCCTCAGGGAGACATATCAGAAAACCAGCTCCCAGAACATAAGCTCACTGAGAGGACAAACAAGGAGGTTAAGGCAGAAACACTTATTTTTTTGTTTGCTTGTTCATCAGAACATTGAGTTGGAGGAGACTGCTCTCAAGATTTGCAGGGAATATACCACGTTTGTTGTTCCTCCCTGAACATGACACATATACAGTACTTGCCAATGCAGGCTGATTGCTGTCCTGAAGGAAAAAAAGATGATGAGATCAGAGATAAAAATGTCTATACTCCAGCTTACTGGAGAAGTCGAAGAATTCTTTAAACAAATACAGAAAGCACTTGCAGTGCGTCAATGGTACTAAGAAACCCCCAGAAGATAGGAAGCCAAGCAAAGGAGATGGAGAGATCAAGGAGTAAGACACAAAATCTGAAGCCTGTGAAGAAGTGACCTTATTCTTTGGAGCTTTGGAACAGACACTGAGGTCTCCCCATTCATAATGTACAGTCAGGTCCAGAAATATTGGGACATCGACACAATTCTAACATCTTTGGCTCT